AGGAGGAGGAGGAGGAGGAGGAGATCTAAAAGGGTCTCAGATTAACACACAGAAATGATATTCATGTATCTCACAAACAAAAGCTAACTTGTTCTTGAGCCCTTGTACTCCCTATTATTCTTAGTCATTCAGCTAACTGGAGAATGTTCACATTTATCAATATGTTCATGTAGCTAGAATGCAAGAAAGTACTCTTTAAAACTTCCTTTTTAAGAAATTATATTGACCTACATACTATGATTAAAATGTTGCCTATTGCAAGTTTAATAGAAAGTATAATGAAAATGCAGTTTTTCAAATTCGGTAGTTTTGGCTTGTCCATTTACATCCATTTGATAATCTAATTCACATTCGTATGTATTCTCATCTGCTTTTTGCCATGTTTGATATCAATTCTTACAACATTCTTTCTAATGATAATGTTGGAACAGTGTAAATTAGTCATGAAAACTATTTCCGATCTCTACCTACACATACTGAACTGACACCAGGACTGCAACTCTCCATCAAAACCGGAGACAAAGCTTGAGGGTGCTACTATAAGAGGCGTTAGTGTCACCAGGTGCAGCTGCAGGTTAGGCTCGCCAACTTTCCCACTTACAAATACGCTAATCTCTGTGATATACAAACAATGAATTCTAAATGTTCAATTACTCATAATCTATACTTATAAGAAACCTCTGAAGAAAGGGCGAACATACACATTATCTTTTATAACATTATCGGCATGCTTGCCACCAGCGAACTCACGCAACAGCCATGCACATTTAAAGTATTGTTGGCAGCAGTTCATGTTTTAGTTCCTGTAATGAAGGTGATGCAACTGAGTGCGCCACTGTAATGGTTTCCACCACATTATATGGGAGTTACAGGGCCCTAACTGACACTTTGAGGCATTAACAGCTGGCACTCCAGCCCAAATGGCTGGTGGAAAAATTCATTTTGCAGAGCAATGCTCCACTGTTTTAGAATCTGTCAAAAAAAAACATCAACTCCTATCCTAAACAGGCTGTGCAAATTAATTACACAAATTTTGGCAGTCCAAAACTTTGCAAGAGGACAACTTCTTCATCCCACACAAAAGCAAAAGCATGCAAAACTTACCCCCAAACAAAAGACACCCAATGGCTTTCTTGATGTCCTCAGAACCGTAAATACTTGGAGCAATGCTCCTTGCAAGTCTCTCATACATGTCAGGACTACTAGCCAATCTCCGAAATGCATCTTCCTCATCAGCAGAAATAGGTAACTGTGAAGTGAAACTGGCTCCTTCTCCATCTACTTGAATGCCAATAACTCGCAAATAAGGAGCACGAATACCAACAATAGCTTTCTCTTTTCCTGCTCGCTGAAATAAACAAAGATGTCAAACATTTTCAAAAGATCATCAAGAAGCAAGATGATTTAATGCTTCTTGAGCAGACTAATTGGATAGATTTCATGCATTTTAAAAAGAATATAGTGTAAATTGTAATACTACTGATTTTTTAAACATTGATGCAAAAGTTATTCAGCTACTGCAATTTTGATCTTGCTACATTGAAATGATTCTGAATGTTAAAAGTTTTGGAAACAATAATGTAAAGTTATTGTAATATTCATTCATTCAAATTCAAAAAATCCATTGTGGTTTCTATATATCTCAAGTGAATCATTAAATTGTTTTGTATTAATTCCTTGACTCCTGGAAGATTGAAGTATGAAATGTGTTAAATTAATACAAGTTAAAGCATTAAAATCCTGTGATACTAAATGTTCTTCTGATATTATGATGATGACAAAGAAGAAGAGAAGAAGAGGAGGAGCAGAAGAAGAACAACTACTACAACAAGTATACCCGTGCAAGAACTCTCGCATGTTAATGTTTACCCTTTCTCTATTCTTTCCGTTAAGAAGGCAAGGAGCTAATGACACGTGTTTGCTTGTTAAATAAATGTTCGTACTTAAGAATATCAAACAAAAATAAAAACGATGCAATTAATGTTGGAAACAAATGTTCAATAAAGGTTTATTCAGTATTATATAGATAAGTTCTCCGAACAATTCACACTTCCTGAAAAACAGTTGAAGTAATTATTCAATCGTCCTTGAGTTAGCTTCTCGCTTTCCTTGATAGTCACAAAAATATTAGAAAATGTTTTTTTCTCTTTAGGAAGCCAAGTAAAGTTTTCCCATGCGAAAATACAGGATCAGGCAAGAACAACCCTACTCTTTGTAGTATTATTTAACTTTCCTGGATTTGTTATGAGGAATAGAGGGGATTTTGGATTATTTTCTGCTCTTAAAAATATCTGCAAAAATAAAATATCTTTCTGCTCTATGTGCCTCAAGAAAAGCAATTCAGAGCCAAAAAATTACAAAAGTAATATTTTCACCTTTGAATGATAAATACAATTTCTTACCATTAGAAACAATTCGGTTAGACTTAGACTTCCCTTCGCTACATGGGAATGTTGCTCAAACGACGTTTACTTATTGAATATGTTAGCAAACCTTAAGTTTAATAATATGAATTATTTTCAAAATAAGTTTATAGCTGGCATTGATGTACAGACTTCCAGATACCACCAACACTTAAATTGTGCGTCTGGATAGTGATCATTGGCAGCTGTTGAGTGACTTGTGCTTTTCTTTATATAATTTTAAATTTGGTTGATTTTTTTAAATTAATTCACGTACTATTGTGTGCTAGCACGTTTTGATTCTTGTTATTCATTACTTTCAAGCTATTTTACTTTAATTAATTTCGAAAGTTTGTTCTTTGTGTTGTGCCATAGGACAAGTTTTCCCCTACTACCTCTGTGTACCCATGCGAGAACTCAATTAAACCCCACACTCTTCCTTATCCTTCTATTTTAAGAGGGAAAGTTCTTAACGAAATGCATTTATTCAAAAAATTGTATAAAAGGTAACTTCCAATGTACTAACACAATATCTAAAATAAAAAAAACAATGCAATTGATGTTGAAAAGAAATTTTCAATAAAGATTTATTCAACATTATTGAGAGATTTCTTGGAACAATGAACTCTTCCTTGAAAATATTTGAAATAATTATTCAATATTTTTTGACAGTTTAGCTTTTCTTGATAGCTTAAAAAATGCTGTTTACTCTTGGGAAAATTGAACACGCTGACTTGAAAGTTTCTCCGAATCACTGCTAATAATGAAAATACTGGTACAGTTAAAACAACCCAACCTTAGTACTTTTTGTGTTGAGCAAACTTTTTTATTATAAGTGTGTGATGTGAAAAAAAAGAAATCCTTAGCACAAGGTACTTTGGGATTATACATTGTTATTTATTGTGACAATGCAACTTTAAGAAAACACATTTTTGGCTTGTATGTTTATTTAAGGAAATATTTAAGAAGTTGGAAAACTCATTAATTAATTTTATGTGCTTTTTAAGAACATTGAATAAAATGTGTTATTAATTTTTTACTGCATTATTATTATAATAATTACCCTCTAATTCGTCATTAATTGTTAGAGACAATGGTATATATGTGTATTTGTGCCTACAAAAACTATAGAAAGTAAATGAAATACTCACTTTATTCGATTTAGCACTTATTTTTTTAATAGAATAAATGCCAAGTATCATCACTTTGTTACCAGGTACCACTCGTTCACACAAGTAACTACAAACAAAAGTTAAATAAATTAACATTCTAAAAATTAGAGCTAGCCCATTTGGCATTTAAAAGACAAACAAACAAGAGGATGTGTAACAAATGATACTGAGTTCAAGAGAAAAATTAAATATCTTACGGAGTCTAAATTAGAAGCTGATTATTATTCAATTGTTCAGAGTAACATACAAACATATTCAAAACTGAAGATCAATTATAATTACAATACATTTTTCTTACTAAAAAGAAAAAGAAATACATACACAAAGCAAGCTATCTCATCTACAAATAAAATAATCCACTAAATATTATAATTTGTAGTACAGTAAATATTCCTTTAAAATTAACTGCAAATTACGCCATACATGAAATAAACAAAGGCGTGCAACAATGGATGAATTCCAGAAAGGATTCCAGAATGATAGTTTAGAAAGGCAAAATGGTCCCAACTGTCTAACAATAAACGAAAATGAAATGGTTTGTCTTAATTTGCTTGAAAATTTGTAAGCAAGTGCTCCCTTCAGATGCCCCTGATGTCTATGCAACCACATTTTTGAAAACCAAATTTTATATTACAGCAATAGCAGGAAAAATATATGAAAAATGATTATTTCCAAAAATATATTGAAAAATTAATGCAGTTGTTCATAGTTTTATGTTAAACAGACAATTGCAGAGTGCAATGTTTAACTACACAGAGTACCAAACCTAGTACCTTCCAATTACCAGTCAATGCTATTAAAACTTGAACAAAAATTAAACTTACCGATCACAATACAATTGTAAATGACGAGGCATTTCACCTTGTGGTATGGAATCGGGCATCTCTTGCAATTTCAAAACTTGAAAATCTACACAAGAGCATTTGTCTGGTACAATAAAAAATGGATCCAGAGGGCATTTAGGTCTTCCTGCTTGTTCTCTGCAAATAAAAATTAAACATTCAAATTTCACCTTATTTTGATCACTACTTATTTCACTCTGCTCTGGTAAAGGACTCCATTCCCTCTCTTTTTTCTTCTTACCAATTCTATTAACATTTGGGCAAACTTGCTGTAAGAAGTACAACAGTTAAAGAGAAATTCATGTATCTTATAAGCAGTAATAATTTTTGAAACAGGAAAACCTCCTATTCCATTGAGACATTTTCTTCATTATTTAAATTTCTTATTCTGCCTATGTTGGATTTAGCTTTGAAAGTAACTGCAAGAGTTGTACACCAAGTTGCACATACTTTTGATAAAAAAGGTAGTTGACTCCACTTAATTCATATTGAGGAACAGTTTAAGCACATGCAACTTCTTTGCTTACAATCAGCAAGTCAGAGAGTGTTTCTATTCCCTCCATGTTTAATACAAATGATTCCCATTATACCGATTAATGAGTGTACAGCCACTCATTTTAAAACAAACTGAGAAGAGTGCTAGCATTTTGTTGGCAGGTAGTGTCACAAACAGATACACATCAATCAATGCCATTCCTCTCAGACTCCCCTCTCCCCATAATGATCTAAGTGTTGCAAAGGCTACCTTCTTCAAAGGTGACAGTTGCAAGAGCTACTAAAAGGAAATATTGTGAATTTACTAATTTAAAATCACAGGTCAGAAAGTCTAATTTTATATTCAAACTATTAAAACATACATAAATGACACACAATTGAATTCCTCTTTTTATGATTTATCCATTACCGGTAACAAAACAATAATTCTATTTAAAAGATCAAAGTGTTACTTTTGTTTTGTTACACACACACTTATTAGCTTCATCAGAGAAGAAAGAAGTTTCACAAACAGTATAAGCAAACTAATAGATTCGATTATTACATTAAGTTGAACACTCAGCTTGGAAGTTTATTAATACATCTACTAGGCACACTCAGTTACCTAGTGATAAGCATTGGGTAATAACTGCTGCAGTGCTTATTCAGAAATTCACACCTTATTTTCTGCTCATTTGTTAAACCAACATGCACCATACACGATTTAAAAAATATTTCTAACTACTACCACAAACTTTTCAACATCAATTCTACGGTCAACAATATCAAAATCACAAGATCTAAACATTTTTCTTTCTCCAAGTCATTTGAACTCTGGAAAAAGTGCTAGACCAGATGAGATCCCCAATAGTTTTTTTAAGCAATTGCAATTTGTTCTGGCACCACCCCTATACTATATACTCTTGGACCTAGGGATTTTCCCCACAGCTTGGAAATTTCGTAAAGTTGTCCCCAACTTTACGTAAGGAGACAATAGTGATATTTCAAATCACTGTACTATTTCCATTCTCAGAGATGTTCCAAAACTTCGAGAAACTTGTGGTTAATTCTTTGGCCACTCACTTTTCCACAATTATTTCAGACAACCTATATAGTTTTAGTAACAATTGATCTTCAATTCTAGCTTCTAGCAAAATAATTAGATCTAGTGTACCTCAAGGTCTTCATCTGGGTCAGATTTAGTTTCATAATTTCATTAATGATCTGCCATCAGTTATTAAATAGAGTAAAATCTTATTGTTTGCAGATGCCAAGATTTATGCCTATCAGGAGAGGATCCTCTGCCTTCTCACAGAGGTGTTCTACAAACAAAATGGAACTCCATACTGATAAGTGTAATGCAATACCCTTTGCCCAGAGACATTAATGTTGTGAACTACCAATATTCTTTAAATTTATAATTCTTTAAATCCTTGACACTGTCTCTGACATCAGGGATCTTGGAACGATTCTTGACTCTAAACTAAAATTAAATGTAGATATTGTTGCAGTGAATAAAGGTGTTCCCTGATTTTGATTTCACAACACCAAATCCCTCCAGTTCATTAATTAATTCTTTATAAAATTCTGATTATTCAGATTTTTGGACATGCCTTAGTCATTTGGTCACATTACACTAAATTATCAATCGGTCAATTGGAAAAAGTTAAATGTAATGGACGACAACATGAAAAGCCCTACAAATTTCTCCGTAGATGTATTTTCAATAAACTACATCTAATACATCTGTAACAGACTACCTAGAACCACCAATTACTATGCTGATACGATTGATTTTCCAATAACAACTTGAAATTTTTTAAGTTGCCTTAAAACTTCTTATACTCTCTGATCATAAGTGTATTGATGATCTTTAATTCTATCATTTAATTAAATCCATGTGCGTAATTGCTACTTTTATTTGTAATTCTCCAATACTTGCCGCAAGTCTGTTATTTGTTTTGCTATGCATTTAATATTCTTTACATAATTAGCTTTAAGGACTTTTATTAAAAGCATTCATGGCATGTAACCTGCGAGGCATTATTACTTTGCAATAATTATTTGTATTTCAAAGGGTATATCCTGTTAATATATGACATAAATACAAACAATATCTTTATGGCATATTACTAGCAAATAGATTCCACATTGTTGGGCAAAAACCGCTTACCAATATAATGATTTGTGTTCAGAATTTATGAAGCGGCCTATAGTGGATATAACAAGAAAATAGAGGGAGTTTCAATAAGTACGTGAGCATTATGTCGCTTTGGCTGCTTCTAGCATTAATACATTAGGGCATAGTTCCCATACCTCCAAAAGGGCAGTGAATTCAGAAATGTTAAATTATCTCATTCTAGCAATAAATGAAAAAAAAATCTAGATAATAATAATCTACGTTTTAAATACATTTGTGATACTTACGTATTACATCGGCGGGGCAAAACATACCCTTCCAGGCCAGGCTTCAAAGGAAGATTGGGAATAACTGTTCGACATGACCGACACTGAATGGATATTTTGGTGGCTTTAGCTCGAATGCCAGAAGCTGACACAATTATTCCAGGAACTTTCACCAATCGTGAAACCACATCACTCTGAAATACAACAAAAATTAAAGACCTACATCATATTTCTCTTATGTAAAATTTGACAGTTTCCTCTTACCTTCAAGTTCCTAAGGGAAGCTGGGTTTGAATCCGAAGATAGAAGAATCTGAACATCCTCCACATGTTCTTCTCCCAGAGGCCGAGGAGCTGTTATCTCATCTGCCACATCCTTCGCTGCTTCCTCAAACTTCAAATCGAATAAAAATTAAGACAGATTACAACAGATGAGAGTAATCATTTGTCAACAGCAATAAACTTACAACTGGTATATATTCAGAAGGTTGCTTATACATTTTTTCGGCCAAAGCATCATCAAAACTGGCCAAATCTTCCAAGTTCACTTCCAACCAATACTGGCCAAGATTGTAATGTCTCTTAAGCGTATCTCTAAACAATAATAATTTTTATGTAGATTAACAACTGCCCTGATACATACAAATTAACATACAATTAACACACCAACTAATGAATTCAATTCACCTGTATTTGTAATTAAAATTTCCTTCGTGAAACTGACGTAGAAATTCTTTCAATTTTCTTTTCACCGCTTGAACGTTCACTTGCGAGTCTTGAGTTTGCGGATCATCACCACCAAAATTATCAGAGAAAAACACCCCAGGATCATCAAACCCCTCCATGTTTTCAGGCTAAATCTTGATTTGACTCAGCTAAGGAGTTAAAAGTGCAAACCTGTACCGTCAACTCAGGCCAGCAATAGATTCTATGGAGAATCCAGATCAGGCCGACCCACACTTTGCTATCCTCGTTCACTCTTCCCGCTGGTTTCCCGCGCTTCAGTACGCGTTTGGCGCGCAAATGAAGTGACGTCTTCATGACGTCATTTGAGGAGGCGTGTTAGTCAACTGTTCACGCAGACGGCGGTCACAGACAATGTGAGCGCACTGGGCGGTCTCTCGTTAAGCGCCGTTTTCACGAAACATAAACTAAAACATATGTACATTTACCATGGAATAGACTTGTTCCTTGCTTTTACCCCACAAGAAGTGTTTGAAAAAATGCCTTATCTTCATTACAATAACGTGTTAGGTACTTCTGTGTTAGGAACTTCTTTGAGTTAGAAACTTCTCTGTTTCTGTTTTCTACATTAAAATCCCCGATTTTTAGAAAATTGCAAAAGTTTAAAATGCGTTCGGTACCTTCTTTCCGTTACAATAATGAAGACATATTTTTTTTCTGAATGACTGTTGCTAAAAGACAGGTCTTGAAATAAGGTCACGTACAATTTTTCGAAAAAAAAGTATTTTGCGTGAAATATTAGCAATTTTAAAGCATTTTTTCTCAAAAAACGGCTCAAAATTTTTCATTAAATTTTCTTTTCGTATATATGAAAGAACGGAAAATAAGTGCTGCTACAAGTCATATACTTTCTCGCATTATTTGCAGCACATTATGTAGATAAGCAAGGATAGTTTCACTTACAAATGGAACATCCAGAACTATATTCCGATTTTTCTAACTCTTCCCTCAAGGCCCTACTTCATGGTGGCTTTAGCTATGACACATGGTGGCATTACCTAAGCTTTCGAAGTTATTGAACATAACATTTTACTTTCAAAATGTCCTTCGTATGGAATTACGATACGAATATTCTTTGCGATAAAGAAACCGTAAATAGTACAATATCAGATATTTCAAATTGGTTCCGTAATAAAAAATAAGAATAAACAAAAAGAAAACAATTTCAAATAAACAGCTCTGTACTCCATTGAAAATGAACGATTTGCCATTGACTCACGTTGAGGTAACAACTTTTTTAGGTCTTTCAATACAATCAAA